GGGCTCAACTGGAATAGAAAATATGGTTTCCCAGAGTATTTTACTTTCAATCGAGCATGCCTAAAAGTGTCTCGGCCGGCGAGGGTCCTCATGCATTTCAAATCGCTGTGACCTTCCCCTGATTTAGACCAGCTGGCTGCGTCGAAGCCGGCGCTCCACATCAGAGCTACATCAAACGGCGAGTGTAGAACTGGTTAGATGGCGTTTATTTTGGCTTTGCTTGGTTAGAGAGAAGCTGAACCGATGAGGAAAGGTAAATGAGGTGTGATTTGTGGAAGAGAAAAAAAAAACCTTTGGCTGACGCCTCCTCGCTCTGTTTGGACACTAAGGAGACGCAGGAGAGAAATCATGCACATCTTTCTCCCTGTCCCCTCGCCAATAAGTGGTTCCGGCTGAGCTTGTTTCCATCAGCCGCCGGCCACGGACTGCCTGTGATGATACTCTCCATCAACCCAGAACGTCCGTTGGCCTGGTTGGCTCGTCTCTCCGGCTGCAGCTGCCCTGGTTTTCATCACGGCTAATGTGAGGGACAAAGACAAACTCCAGACTCTCACAAGCACATCTTCCTGTCTCCTCAGTCCTCCGCACACCTCTCCATAATGAGGCCACAGCATCTGACTGCATTTGTCCCTGGAGTTTAATAAAGTTCAGCACTGACAGGCTGTAAACCAACACAACCACCCTCTTGCCTCCAGGCAAGGGCCACAACCTCCTCCTGCCTCCCGCGGTCCTCTCATCCTGCAGTGTAGCCGTCGCCGTTGCAGCGGAGGCAAATTGATGATTTTATCTGTTATGACCAGGAAGGTGTAATATTCTGTATAAATATAAAATATTAACCTGCGAGGTCTTTATTGTAATTAATCAGAAGATTCTAGGATTTAATTCAGAAGATCTAGGTTCTTTGCTTTTTCAGTGATCAACCACACTTCGTGCTACTTCAAGAAAGAGTCAAGTTTAAAAAAGTAAGAATTTATTTTACAAACAATTTAAAACATGACTAATTAATTAAGCATTTACTGTGAGTGAATGTAACTAAACCTGAGATGTGGGTATGATGTCAGTCAGAGCGTCCTCATCAAAATAAGCTGAGTTCTGGTGAAAATAATTTGGTTTGCTCTAAGCTATAAAGTTGTTATCATCAGAAGAACATTCAGACGCAATCTGTCATGTCTACGTTACCCATTTCATAGAGACCCTCTTGGTGGATCCGAAAGTCACAGGGGTCGGCTGACCGCTGGCACCGGAGGGCTGTAGAATACCGTGGTACTGACTCTTCAGTCCAGAGATCTCTTGGTTCACAACAGATGGATGGAGCCGTGCGTCTGGCGGACGCTTAAGGAGTCTAATAATATTAGCCTTGTTTATGTAGGAACTGTTTGCTCATCAGCTTTGCAGGTGCAAAAAGGTTTTGACGACATGTCAAAATCTTTGACGGTTAAAGAGGTTTTGCTACAGATGGCCGGTCTGAGCGATTCTCTAGCTGTTGAATCTCTCAGAACGATCTAGTTGTAAGGTTTAGCTGTTATGATTTGCACAGCCAATCAGAGGCGGACAAGTTTGGAGATGTTTTACCAAGGCAACTCAGAAACACACCCTCTTTGATATCGGAAAGCCTGACTGGTTAAAAAAAAAACAAGTCATGTGTTGTAGTCTAACTTAACCGTACTTGTTATTGTGTGGATGCAGGTGTGAGGACCTTGTCGTCTAAACATGTTGAACACATGGCAGGTTCTAGTGGACACACATAATATAACATCCATTCAGTGTGCACAGATTAATGAAGCATTTCATTATACTATAATTATTATAAGTAGTAATAAACAAATGCTTATTTAATGATTATCTAGATTATAAGTCATAGAAGGAGTTCATATTGATTTATTGAATCATTTTTGAATTTAGCAACTGATCCGGGCTGGAGTTCTTTCTTCTGGAGGCAGACAGATGGGACCTTGGGAAAGAAAGTTATTATTTATCTTTCAGACTTGCAGAGTCTGTGAATCCCAGCTGGTGTGAAGGCTGGTGTCCTTTCTGACCAGATGTTGAATGGGTGGTGAAAGGTCAGGCTGCACCTAAACTGACCATTGCTGGACGCTACACCGTGGATTGATCTGGAGCTGGAAACCACTCAAACGACGGCCGAGGAGACCTGCGGAGGTTCTACGCCTCTCAGATGCATTTGGATAGTTTTCCGAAGCGGTGCCACCCTTCACACCCACTTGCACCTGTCAGTAATAGATCAAAGGGATAATAAAAGAAACAATATGGCCTCAGGGCCAGTGCACTCACGTATCATGTCTTCCACTTTCTGCATAAGCTCTCAAGCAGTTAGCTTGAGTGTGAAGCTTTTTACTCTTCAGCCGCCTTTAACGTGTTCACCACTGATACTTTTATAACCGGACCCGCATTTGTTGTGAAATATGTCACCCTCTTGATGCCCTTTTCTTCGGCGGTGGCCTTCGGTGTGATCACATCATTCCCCCCACAACATCATCGTCCTCATCATCAGGACCATCATCCCCGTGCGCCTTTTCGGCCCTGACCCTTCACTCACTCCAGTGGGTGTAAACGCCCATAGATAGACAGCTTTACAGGGGAATCCCGCTCTCTAACCTCCACAAGAAGTCAAACTGAATAGCAGATGGGCCCAGCTTTGTGTTTCGTTTTATTAGCCGTCCTAAATCAATGTCTAACAAAGCATGAAGAGGAAAAAGGGCATTGATTTCATCTACTGGTACCACGAGTAGGCGAGGAGTGTTCGACGGGGGGAAAGAGGGGAGTTGATCTGTTATGACTTTTCTTCAATTTCCTGTATAGGAAGAAGCACCGCCATGATGCAAGGATGCGAGCACACATTTCACCCTGTTGTCATAGATGGTTGCATAGTTTTGGATCATGTGGTGCACCTGTGTTCAGTTTGAGCATTGCTCACAGATCCAGGATTATTTAGGAACTCCTTTCTTATTGCACCATGTTTTTTTTTATAGCTGGATTATCGGGATTGTCTCTTAGCAGTAGCAAAAGATGTAGCCCCGCAGCTCGGTCTAGCCACGTTCCATTGTAGCCTCAGCAGGTCTACCGTTGGCTCAGCTAAGTGTAGGCCCGGGACGCTGGACGGGCTTCGCACCATTACGGCAGAGTTGCGACAAAGTGAAGCAACAAACATGGCGGCTCATTTGCAACGGCTTTGGCATCAACCTTTGACCACTGAGACTCGAGCTTTTCTTCGAGACTTGAGCAGACATCTGCGGAATGCCTCGTTGACTGAATTTTCATTGCCATGACTACGTGACATTGTTTGTTGCTCTGATTGGTCCTGGCGCTGTCCAGTTGCGTGTGTAGACTATTTCAAAGACAGCCGTAGAGTCCGCACCTTAACTGAGTTCTGTCTATGGGTCGTGATCAGACTACACATTTACATACAGGATGGCTTGTAAAGCTGAGGATTTTCTGCTTTTCAAAATAATTATAACCGTGCATCTGTGAGTATAAATGAAACAAAAACCATTTTAAATCATTAACATAAACAACTAAATTTGAGTTCTGATTAGCCATGCACGCTTGTTCATCAAGATGTGCAGAAATACATAAAGATGCTTTTCTGTTATTTAGTAAACTGAATGGGTGTTTGTGGACAGATATAATCTAAAAGTCTGTGTATTGAGCTTCCTTTATCACAGTTTGATTTAGAGTCCCTCGGCCCGCCTCTGTTGGGTCGGCTGTATTAAGTGGTGTTGCATTAGAGCAGTAGATCGTTGTTTCTCCCGCTGCTTCGCTCCTCCTGATCACCTCAGAGCTTCTGCAGAGCAAAGGTCTCATAAACATTTATGTGTGGGCTGTGAGCAACTGTCCTAAGCCACGACTCTGCTGGGCAGACGCCTAGCGTGCCCCTTTATGCCTCTTAAGAGACCAACCTGTCTCTCTGTGTGTAAGTGTTTATTTCCTTGAAACAGACACAAAGTTATGATCCCCTTTACTTGTGATTTTGAATAATTCAAGGATTGCACTATGTGTCTCCAGCCTCCAGGAAGAGTTTGTTATTTCCACCTTTTGTTGCATTTCGTATGCTTTCACACCAGGACACTTATCATATGTAAATTATACAGCTTCAGGCGCGATAACCACCTCCCAGCTGTTTTTATTTTTGTAAGTCTTTCCGAGCAGAGATGGACACCCTAGGGAGTCTCCTTGGAGACAAAGTGAAAGGACAAAAATCTATTGGATTGAAAGCATAAACAACATCAAATCTTCAATATTTCTTTCTAAAACTTAAATAAATAAAACCTAATAAATAAAAGTGTTTGGGTTACTAACATTAAGATGTGATTTCAGAGTTTCACTTCTACTTTTCCTTGCACATTTACAGAAACTCATGAGATAAGGAACAGAAATTGTGAAACTCCTTAGCAACCTTAACCCAAATGTAGTTAAAAAGTCCCAACCATCCTGCAACATCAACACAATCTCGCACTCAAGGCATCAAACTATGACGGGTGTGACCAAGCCTCAATACATGACGATTCAGGACACGCCAGCGCGTCAGGAGACGACGATCAGGGACACGCTGGATCACATGGCTTCGCTGGCGTCACTGTTTGACGCGCGCGGTCAGACGGACATTATTCGACTATTTAACCTTCCCCTCACCCCAATCCTAACCTTAAGGTCCATAAACTGTGACCTTAAGGTTAGGATTGGGGTGAGGGGAAGGTTAAGTAGTTCACAAGTAGTTCTAATGTCCGTCTCACCACCGGCGTCGGATACCGACGCTCTGGGACGCTGCGTCAGCAGTTTGTCCCTGATCGTCGTCTCCTGAGGCGTCCCGAATCGTCATATATCGAGGCTTGGTCACACGTATCATATTTTGACGCCTTGGGTGTGAGAATGTGTTGGTAACATTGGTTAAAGTTGAAAAGGAACATTTGCAGTTGCTTTTATTCCTCATGCTTTATGCATTCCCTTCATGTTGCTGATTTGCGCTGTGCTTTATTGTTCTGCAGGATCCTGGATATGCATCCTTCCTGTTTGGGCAGCTTCAAACACTTGGAAATCCTGAACCCGACTGCTGCCAGGTGTGCTCCACGCCTCTTCACCAGCTGAGGCAGGAAGCCCTGCAGACCTTTGGCTCAGACATGGCAGCCTTGCCAACTCCATCCATGTTACCGCAGCCTTCCAGATTCACTGTGTCGTCCTCCAGCGTCCACGCCAAACAACTACTGAAGAGCCAGCCTGTTACACGCTCCGTCCTGCCTTTGGGGGAGCGACACAAAGTACCGGGATGGTCACAGAGCCCCTCTTCATCTTTGGGGTCTAAAACCAGCGTTCAGGTTACAGTAGCAGGAGGTCAGCTCACCGGATCTATGAGCACCGTCACCATCCAGGCGCAGCAGTATCTTGATGGAATGTGGAGCATCTCCAGTGTCAACAACCTTCTGCCTCAGCCTAAACCTGTATGTGCTCGATTTTCTTTTACTTCTGCTAGTAGTCAAAGCATAATGTATCTGCAGCTGTTTGTGCAACTCTTGATCATTTAACCACGTCATGTAGTTTAGCTCTCCTCCTCTAACCCTAACTTAATCAATAATTTGAGATATTTAAGTATGAGGTAGATCACAGATCTTTAGTCAATGCAATATTAACACAAACAGGTTCAAAACAAAGTGATGGCAGCATCAGTATTCAAATTCTTTATGTGTTTGCATCAGTGTCAAGTTTTGGATTTCATAAGAGAAGCTTCAAAGCATCATTTGATAAAAACAAATGCATCAGTATATATATACGTATAAAAATATCTTTTTATACGTATATATATACACGTGTATATATATATATATAAATATATATGTTTATATAAATATATATGTGTGTGTATATATATATATATATATTTATGTATATTTACATATATATACGTTTATATGTATATATACATATATATATATATATATATATATATATATATATATATATATATATATATATATATATATATATATATATATATATATAAATGTATGTATATTTACATATATATACGTTTATATGTATATATACATAAATAAATATATATATATTTACATATATATAAGTTTATATGTATATATACGTAAATATATATATATATATATTTTTTTTTCAGGTGCTCTTCAGGATCCGATCAATCATGAATATGGATGGGAAAGAAAACTAGGAGATCCGAGGCACTCTTGGACATGTTTTTATTATTAAAGGAGCAAGAAAAAGCCAACGCATGCTGGTCGGTGTGGCATTCATACCAGCTCAGGTGTTAGTTACTTTCAGGTCATTGATACCCTGAAGAAGGTCGTACGCCAGGTAGGCTTTTTCTTGCTCCTTTAATAATAAAACCACTTCTCAGAGTGTCTCGAGCATCTTTGTTTTCCACATCCATATCTTATCATTTGATAAAGTTGAAGTTAAAGTCCCATTAATTCATCACACACTGGTGAAATTCATCTCCGCATCTGACCCATCCCCGTCGGGAGCAGTGAGCTGCAGCTGCGGCTGCGCTCGGGAACTATTTGGTGGTTTAACACCCCCCAGTCCAACCCCTTACAGCTGATTGTCAAGCAGGGAGGCACTGGGTCCCGTTGTTAAGGTCTTTGGTATGACCCGACCGGGATTTGAACCCCGATCTCCCAGGGCGGACGCTCTACCACTAGGCCACTGAAAAGGTGAATAATGAACTGAAATAATTGAAAATCATGGAAAATAAATGAGCTTTTTGTTTCTATAACCTGTTAACATCGTCAAGTAAAAAAAAAGTTCAATTATCTTTAAAGAAAATGAAGAACCTGAAGACAATTTGTTAGTGCCTACCTCTCTTTTCTTATTGAAGGGTTTGACTGATCTGAGGTCAGAGGTCATCTCTTCACTAATCTGCTGATCTCCTCCCAAGGCCCTTTTGAGATGGCCAAGCCTCAGCAAACTTCATTCACACCAGCTCAGGTGTTCGTTACTTTCCTATTAGATGTCTGCAGGTTTTTGCCCTTGGCATCATGGCGGGACATATTGCACCTTTAGGTGGTTTTGCAGAGGAATCACTTGCATCTCAAAGCTTATCTCTGGCCACTGATACGAACGTGTCTGGCGTTCCTGATGAGTCACTTCCTGCAGTGATGGGGACATCTGGTCTCAGACCTCACTGACATACCCCTGTGACATTTCACAGCTGCCAGATTGTGTGCAGATTAAACAACACTTGCTAGAAGCTACTAATGTTTTAACACATTATGCGTTCTCTATTAGGTTCCTTAGCTGCTAAACTCTCCCTTTTGTGTGAGCTGTGTGAATAAAGTCTTCTTTCTGCTTGAAAAACTAAAGACAGATTTTCACTTTGCCTGCATTGTCAACAAGTGCCTGTAGAGATGGTTTATGGGAGACCATCAAAAGCTTTTAACTGCTTGTACGAAGCCTATTTCAAATCAAATGGCCTGGCACAGACAAGAGAGGCTGACTTGTGTTCTCCATCTATGTGTCTAAAAGCAATTAGTGGCTCCTGGAGCCTGGGTGAGTTGTTCAAAGGCTGTAGCTGAGACTGGGGCTTTCCCTGTGTGGGGAGAAATGTCCCTTCAGGACATGGAGTAACAAACAGCAGAAATGGTGTTATTTTCTCGAGCCAGTTTCTATCATTAAAACTAGTCTTTAGAATGACAAAAACCCACAAACACAGGCTCTTGAGCATTGAAAGTTACACAACGCCGCAAGGCACAAGCCTTAACTCACGATTCCCTCTTGCGCTTTTCTTTTTTTCTTTCGTTCTTTCCTTTTTGTTGCTGCTGAAGGAGTGTGCAGTGTTGTTCTGATGAAAGGAGGAGAGATGCTCTGTGTTCTTTAGAGAATATAAACCAGAGGACCCACCCACTATCCTTACCAAAACACCTTGTCTCTCCCATTTGGGTCATCCGGAGTTCCGTTAGTTCTGTTTTCTTTTCTGTTCTTTATTAAAAGATCCCGTCTCATTTGCAAATACTAGTTGACTGCAATTTTTGGGCGGAGTGGTTGAGTTGTTAGGAATGTCTCCCTAAGAAAAGAAGATTTCTTGTTGCAAAATCCATCTTCAGTTAGGGTTTGAAAATCATTTTAAAACATTTTAAATATCTTTAAATACAAGAACTCTCTCTGGGTGTTTTTGATTTGCTCAAGAATTATAAAGTTAATCAGTAAAACAGCACAATATAAAAAATAAGCATGATTTTAAACATTTTGATACATTATAGTGCAATTTTATACAATAAAATACAAGATTATACAATATGAGGAAATACGAGACTACAAGATTCAAGGTGATACAATTCAATACAAGATTTGATTTAACTTGATATGATACAACATAGTGCAATGGAGAACAACACAGTCTGATATGATATGATATGATATAATATGATATGTTATGATATGATAGTGTATGTTATGATACAATGGGGTATGGTATAGTTCTGTATGATACAATACAATAATCTAGAACACAACATGACATAATAAAATACAATAAGATATTATTTGATGGGGTTTGATATTTTTTGGTATGGTCTGTCAGCGCACCCCAGGGCAGCTGTGGCTACATCGTAGTTCATCACCATCAGTGTGTGAATGTGTGTGTGAATGGATGAATGATGCTCTGTAGTGTAAACACTTTGGAGTCCTTACTCTGAGAGGCGCTATACAAGTGCGGGTCATTTATCATTTACAGTGTAATGAATTACACAGTACAATACAACGTGGCACATTAAAAAATAAAGAGAACTTCCATCCATCCATTCTCTTCTGCTTATCCGGAGTCGGGTCGGGCAACAACCTAAGTCAAGAAGCCCAGACTTCCCTCTCCCCAGCCATTTGGGCCAGCTCTTCCGGGGGAATCCCAAGACGTTCCCTGGCCAGGCGAGAGACATAGTCCCTCCAACATGTCCCGGGTCTCCATTTAGGTCTCCTCCTGGTTGGACGAGCCTGGAAAACATCATCAGGCAGGGGTCCAGAAACATCCTAATCAGATGCCCGTGCCACCTCTGGTTCCTTTCAATGTGGAGGAGCAGCTAATCTACTCCAAGCCCCTCCCGGATGACCGAGCTCCTTACCCCATCTCTAAGGGAGAGAAATTATATGGTATAATATACAATTTGAAATGAAATGACACAACACGGTGTTATGAAAAAATGTAATAAAAATGTTTAAGATAAATCTTGAAATCATGATTATTTGACAAGATTTCTCACTATGTTGGGAAACACATGACCTTTTTAGAGTTGTATATTTTGAATGAGTACCTTCAGAAATATTTACACAGCTCGCCAATAGGCTACATCTTGAAAAGTGAGTTTTAATAACAAAGAGAGTCTGATTACGTCAAACCTAAAGCATCCTGTGGTCTCTTAAGGAAACGGCAGTTACTTATTTACATTGAGTAGCAACATGGCAAAGTCAAGCACAAGTTGCCAAGAGGAGGATCAGCTCAGTGTGGTTGTTCAGATCCCATGTGGATGTGTTCTGGGCCATGTCTGCCCACATTCTTTTAGCATTGCAAACATCGTTGTGTCCTGGGGCACGGTGAAAAACCACCTACTCCACCGAGATTCCTCCCACCAGTAAAGACAACAAACAAACGTAAAACTAGTTGTAAAACAATTTGTGTACCTGCATTTGTTCGGTCTGCCTGCTGTATCAAATGTTAGTTTAGACCAGTTTTAACTTTGAGGTAATTGAGTTTCCTGGAGTGGATTCCAGCCTTTGGTCTTTGCAAATAAAAATAATTATGAAGCATTCTACTTCCAGATGTGAGATAATAACCTTAGAGCGGCGTACTTGTGGGCCTATAACCCCGGACACGTATTAATGCCAGGTCTAAACGGTCATTTCATCCGTTTTAATCAAGAGCTCTGAGCATTTAAACAGAATTTAGTGAACCACATTACAAACAACGCTTTGCCACCATTCTTAAAAGTAAATGAATAAACCAAATCCACAATAGCTTCTTCAAATCCTAAACCACGCACTCACTAATCTGCAAGTACCGAGTGTACTTGACTCATGAGGGCTTCCCGTTATTGGCCCAGTGGTTTCCTGCTTCCATCGCCACCAGTTCTCAGCTCTCCAGATGATCTTGGCTGCTTCAGCTTTGGTGCAGCTGGACCTGAATGGAGCCACAGACAGCAAAGATGACAAGAGGAGAAAGAGATACAGGAAGGAAAAGGAAGAGAAATCCCTCCATTTGCAAATCATTTCATTTCAGAAGCAACTGAGTATTTTAGACCACTAAAATTGTTGCATTTGGTTCACAAAAGTACAAGAGGAGTCCATTCTCTACTCAGCTGGTTTCTGTTGGATATAGGGCAGCTGAGTATGACAGCAAGGCCCATTTCACGTTAGCTGTAACCGTTGATTGACTGCAGGAATCAAAGGTCACGGTGGAGACCCTGGCAGTCTGAGGGGGAAATGGTCTGCCGGTAGAATGCTGACCTGCAGCACTCACGTCAGATATTAGAGCAAACCCTCTTGTCACCCCTTTCACTTTTTAAATTCAATTTTTCCATTACGTTTAAATCTTTCTCGTTTTGTCTCTCCCCCTCCTCCTTTTCTGCCTTTTCTTTCCAGTGGAAAACCAAGGATAAAAGGCTGGGGGGTTACCGGGTGGAAGGCCAGCTCATTACTGACTCTCAGTGCGAACAGCCGAGCACACATGGCTCCACTGACACAGCCTAATTACCTGATTGGGGGATAGATTGTACTGTTCAGTCATAATCAGGGCCAGCCCGGGTCCAAGGCTGCAGAGAGCAGCTTGGGTGTGGAGCTTAAGTCCTTGGTTTTTATACCAATGGGAAAACTCTCTGTTAGGCTCTCTGATGAGCTCAAATGTGTGTGTGTGTGTGTGTGTGTGTGTGTGTCTTACTCATGTGTGTTGAGTCTACGCTTTATCCATTTGGAGCCCACACCACAGCTCCACCTGTGCCCAGCTGTCTGCGCGTGTGCTCCTGAAACCTGCTGCCACTCGATTTTAAAACAAGCACTCCACCAACTCAATCAGCAGCAGATGTGATGAGCTGCACACTTCCTGTACGGCTGTGTGTGAAGTGCTCTAGTCTTTCCAGCCAACGACTAATGGCTCCACTTTGCTGGTATGCGCTGCGTTTCTAACCTGTCACCCACACCAGCGTGGCGTGATAGTGTCCGCTCCGGCAGCTGAGCGAGAATCTCCTTTTGGTGCATTTCTGTTCACATCCAGCGTTTCTAAAGTCAAAACTCCACACATGTCAGCTTTGTGTGGCTTAGCCTCCACGATGACGTCTCAGGAGACCGAACCTAGACTGTGATTCCAAACTCTGCGCTCAAAAGGAGGAAATGTTTGACAACTGTTCAGTGAAACTCATCTGGGAAAAGACATTACAGCCATGCTTTAATATAGCAACTCATTGTCATGCTTGTTAATCTAACAGTGGCGACGCTCCACATAGCGAGAGCCAAGCTAAGCATAAGTATATCCTCACAATTTGATGTATAGCGTTCACCTGTCAGACGCAGAGTAAAAATAGTGCAGCTGTTAGCTTGTGCTGACAAACAGCAGGTATAGAAGGCCATTATTTACAAGGATTTAAATAACTCTATTTCTAGAGCAAACAGCGAGGTGTTAAGTAGCATGGAAGCTACTGTGATTTCCTATGTTTAACTCAAGGTTGATTACAGTGTTTGTGCATCAGGCACAAGTTATAAATGTTTCTCGGAAGGCTTTAGCCGCGATTCATTCAATTTCAGATTCTGAAACCCACAGAACTGACTCTTGTCAGCTGATATTGATCATTGTCCTGCAAGCTAAAGTTGCGTCTCTGGTGGGGATTAACCTTTTGTGTAAATGGGCACTCCAGCTGAGGGGCAGTCCCAGCACTGAGGGTTGCCTTCCCTAATTAGGTATTAGTCTTTCTGCATGAGGTCAGTCGAACGCCACTGGCTTTTGTGCCTAAGCTGATTTTTTTTTTGCTTCATCTTCAACCTTTATTTATATTAGAGATTAAAACATATTTGCACAACAAATGCAATTGACAACTTTATTGCTTAACATTGTTCTTGGTGCCATTTTTTACTTGTTATATTTGAAATATGATTTTGATCACTCTGAGTTTAACATTAAGGCTAAACATTTTTGTTGGGTTAGGGTTTAGCGGTCCAGGAGAAAGCAGAGCATGCCCTGACCAGTAGAAGCAAATTGTTAGCATTAGCAACTCCATAATGCAGCAAAACGTCCCCAGGTTTGTGCTGTTTGAGGAGAAAAATCATCGATGTTGCAAAGCAAATCGAGTCAGTGGAGGAATTGCGTTGCTGTTAGCCAATCAGAGGCGAGATGTCCGAATATCGGAAATGAGACTGCATTTCCTGCCCTGTTCTGCTTATGCTTGGGGCAGCAGTAGCTCAACAGGTTGAGCGGGTTGTCCAGTAATCGGAAGGTTGCAGGTTCGATCCCGGCTCCGGACAGAGAATTCTGCTGTTGTGTCCTTGGGCAAGACACTTAACCCACGGAGGGACCGGTGGCGCCTGTGCTCGGCAGCCTCGCCTCTGTCAGCGCGCCCCAGGGCAGCTGTGGCTACATCGTAGCTCATCACCATCAGTGTGTGAATGGACGAATGATGCACTGTAGTGTAAAGGGCTTTGGAGTCCCTACTGTGAGAGGCGCTATACAAGTGCGGGTCATTTATTTCTCTTGTGACTCGCTTCTAATTCCTGAAATTGGAGCGCAAGAATTTTCCCCCGCAGAGAGCGACTCACAAGGCATTTATTCATACAACACAGCAAATGAGTTGAAAAAATTAGGTCTTAAAAAAGTGCATTAAAGGTGACATCAAATGATGTAAACCACACCGAAGGCTACAATTCAATCACCGGACAAAAACTCTTTCAGCCCTGTCATTAACCTGTTGAGAGACAAAACACGGCAGTGGTCCTATCATGCTGTGGGGTTAGTTTACTACAACTGTCACTTGTTAGTATCCAGGTAAGGACTTGTTTTTTTTCAAGAGTAGTTGGGGACTTTTACACATCAAAGGTTTTGATCATGGTTTGGGTGTTGACAGTTGTTACATCATTCCATTTTGAATCATGTGGGTGAGCCCAAGCTACAACAATGACAATTAAAGAAGCGCTTAAGAACTAAAACTTGATAGACTGCATCAAACCTATTATGCTGGGTGGTAAATCTTTTGGGAATCTTGCTTTAGGACATTTGTGACAGCTGTGACGATACACAAGTGCTTTACCACGTTGTTTCGTTAGAGTGAGGAACCCATTGCATTAATTTGAGTTACCTCAGCCCCAAAGGCTTCATGCCTCAGTATATTCCTGTTGAGTTACCAGACTCACAGAACAACATGTGCTGGTGTGGAGGACACACTGTCCACATATCTCACTAACATTTAAGCTGCGCAACAAACACCACAAATGATCTTTACTCCCTTTCAAAGTCCCTCTCCGATGGTCTGACTCAACCTACACACGTACCAAATTAGCCATGAAGGTATGGGTATAAAGGGGTGCAGAGTGAGTCGATCACCAGTGATTTAATTGCTAATTAAATGTGGGATATAGCTTAATTACAGTACGTTACAACCAGAGCAGCCATGTAAGTGTTGCCAGAATCAATGAATGGTGCGGCTTCCATACTGTTCTGTGGGGAGCTCTCTGCTGTGGATACTGCTGACTGCCGCTAACTGGTACGGTCTGCAGCAGCTGCCCATCCATCTGTGGCAAAGGAGACCTGGAAGCAGAGCGAGGAGAGGGAGTGGGAAGAAGGCGAACAAGAGCAGTTTCAGTTGTCTTATCTCTGTATCTATGTGTCAACAGACCCACGGTTTGATGGGGGATGCAGACAGTGATGTCACAGCCTTGGAGGCCCCTGTCACCACCATGACCAACACCAGCAGCAGCAGCAGCACCCTGGCGCCCTGCCGACTGAGGAGCTCCAGCCAAACGGGACTCCCAGCACCCATAACCAGTGCGTCCTCCTCTCCCTCCTCATCTGCAGCTGCCTCATTCTTCATTAGGTAAGTGCACACCCCCATACCGTCAAATCCCAGGAAAGTGGACTCTGTCAGAATACGTGGAGATTAAATTGTGTTGCAAGAAGTGCATGCACACCTGGAGGCTTCGGTTTGTCAAGGTGTGCATGCAGAAAGCTGAAGAGAAGATGAGCACAGACTTGCCTTCCAATGCATATCAAACATTACGGTTCGTGGTGTCGGCCTCCCATTCATTGGAGCTGTTGGTCTTGCCATGCATGAATTACAGCCTGCTTTGGGATGCACTTCATGGTACTAAATGAACCTTTAGTTCCAGGCACCAGTGCCCTTGAATGGATAACACACCAAAATAATTTGATGCGAGGAGGCGAGCGTGTCACGAATGGGGCTTAGGTTAAAGCTCGGTATTATCCTGAGGTATGTAATGTTTAGTTATTTTTTCTTTGTTTTCACCCTCAAATCAACCCGTTTAAAACCCCAGACAGCTACACATCAGACCCCATCACAGCTGCAGTTTTATAAGTCAGCTGAACCGTTTGTGTATCTTGGGCACAGTGAGGGTGTTTAGTGCAGCCTGGGTCTGGTGGAGCTGTTGCCCTGGAGAATACTTCACTCGCTCCTGGCTGGTGAATTGTGCCGCACTGTCATTGATAGATGCTCTGGCAGCCTGGTCAGTGCATACATTGCTTCTCCATAATGATTGTTGGAGGGGCTGAAGAATGATGCATAAGAGCATTGAATCTCTGCACTCCAGGAGGTGCAGGAAAGCTGCGAGGGGACTTGGAGTGTGACAGGAAGTCCGTGGGGGATCTGTTTGGTGCTAAGCTTTTCACTAAGTAGCCCAAATAGATTTTGTTTTGCCACTTTTCACAGGGTCAGCTTGTATCAGCGAGACCACGAGTCTAAGGGGATAATCCAGATCCTCCACTAAATGTACGACTTCCTTTTTGCTTCCTTTCACAAGAACAGCAGGTCTAAATAGCAATTAGGTGCAGCATTTTGCTACAGGGGTACATTTTTGACAAAGATTTATTGGTTCTCTGTTTTCTTTGGACCTGAGCTAAAACAAAAAAAAAAAGCACAAAAGCACTTTTCATTACAATTTAAGTGAAGTCCTGGTCAAGCAGAGGGTGTAGATTTGGTTCCACCTTTATTTTGTCCCCCAAATATAATATCCTGCCAAGGCTGCCGTGTTTGACTTGGCGTTAAAATCCCAACACTCAAGGGGATGACCAGCATCCGACGTGAAAACAAGTTGTGGAGATGCTTGATTTGAGGCACACCATCCTGCTGACCCTCTGCAGCTGTTCCCTACAACCAGAATATTCACACCATCATTTTGTTTTTCTTCTTCTAGATAATTGCTGATTGTCATAAAGTCAAAAACAATGATCTAAATCAAAGTTTCCTCCAATCGAGCTTCATTTGAGAAAAAAAAATCTGTTTGAATTAATGTCCATCAAGTTTTAGACGTGATTGAAAATTCACATCTGATTAGTATTCTTCTTTTGTTCTCCGTGGATTCACTCAGCGGCTTGCATGCATAAATCCTGATAGACCCAGAATGTGGAAGCCGAATGAGTAAACAGCAGATTTTACCCCGGTGGAGTGAAGAAGGCTCTTTAGACACATGTCTGACATTCACCAACGCCATTTCCCTCAGAAATGTAATTTTAATTAGAATGCAATTAGTTGGAGCTGCTTTAGCTCCTCGTCCTCTGCAGCGAGAAAAAAAGGAGCATGATGAGCAGAAATTTCAACATCTAGGTTTTAATTTGAAAATTAAGCCAGCCAAACCAGTTTCGTGAAAGCATTTAAGTTGTTTCATTTAAGAAGCTCACCGAGTTGAAAAATGATCTGGGAAAAAAGAACCAGCTTGACATCTGTTTTCTTTAAATAATCCTTTAATTATTAAAAAAAAGGAATTACTTGATTAAATACATAAAAACGTTTTTGAGACCAAGTTCACAGAGAAACTATTTTTAATTTTTTCTTCATTCGATCGGTCACTCTAAGTTTAACATGCAGGTTGAACATGAAAACTGTCGTCTACAACTACTTCCTGCATTAGTCGCCAACATATAAAAGATGGGGAAAGACTCGGATTAGAAAAAGCCGGTCAGAGCTACTTCACACAATCACAGACTCACCCATCTTGGCTCGTGACAAGGAAGCTGTTTTGATTTAGCATCCAGGAAAGAGTAGAGCGCATCTATGCCAGAAGAAGCTAACCATTAGCATTAGCATCTCCAAAACATGGCAGATCTCTTTCAGGCTTGTGTTATTTGTGGAGATAAAACATCAACGTTGTAAAGCAAACATTGAGTCGAGTCATGCTGCTGTTGGCCAGTCAGATGTCTGACTATCATAAATAATAATGAGTAAGACACCAAATCCTGATGCTTTCTGCATCTTACTCCACCGGCTGACCTCTAGTTCCTGAAACAGGAGCGCCAGAGCTTTTTTTCCACAGAGGACAACTCACAAGGCATTCCTTCACACTAGAGACCACTGACAGAATGAGTGAATGAACACTTTAGATTTTGTTTTAGCAACATTTACTGTGAAAAATTAAGATTCTTTAAGCTGTGATAAAAATGTAATGCAGTGTAAAACCTAATAGGTTGTTAATGTTATTTATGGGTATCATATTAATTGAGGAGGTCAAACTGCTCATTTTGTTCACATTAGTTTGTTTGATTAATAGCTAATGACAGATACCTTCCAGGCTGTGTAGATAATGTGAAACTCAAAGTGCTTTCAGAGCCTACATCCACGCCTCTGGGATAAAAATTTGCTAATAAAATTATCCTGATGATGAATCTCTCTGCTGAAAAAGTTAATTTTATGTATAATTTAGGATATTTTTATTGCTTTCTTTTTAATCTGCTACCTTTTGCTGGTAAATTTAAAACCAAAATGGCCTCTGGGTCAACGATGACCGGTTGGCAATTAGGCAGCCTCAGGGAGACGGGAGTCAGGGGGGTCACACCCTGACTGGATGGAGTGTGTGTCTGCATATCGTTATGTGTGCAGGGCTACATCGGCGTCTTTGGGGGTGGAGGCGGAGGGTAATGAATTTAGAGCCATGTGTTCAGCTGACTTGCACGTTAAGCACTGATTGCCTTGTGACAGAGCATATGATTAGTGTATTGACACGGAGTTGTGTAATGAACACAGGCGGCACTCGCAGCAGGGGTGACGTGATGTAGCTAACCGGTCCTTCCACCCATCTCTGGTTCCATTAACACCTGCTGATTGTGGCGGTGTGTTTATCAGGAACTGGGCTCATGGGGTTTCTTTGTGCACACTGCCTGGAGGGCTCCACTGCTCAGTTTGCAGCCATAGTGGCGGAGTTAGGCAGTTTTCATTGTTTATTGATGGTCTCCTGTTTACGTGTGTTTGGAGGACAGGCTAGTCCATTTGTCACTTCGCTTCCTCACACTGATCATACCCTGGAGATGGGTGATTTACTCACTCTGATGAAGCAGGGCTGACGAATAGAAGGGGTCGGAGGACTGTAGAGACAAAGGTGGCACGTGTAGGCGGCTGGGCCGTTGCAGGGCCAGGGTGGACAGCTGTTTGCTGGAATGCAACCCTGGAGGAGAGAGCGGCTTTATGGTCACCCATTGCTGCTTTGCAGCTGCTGCCCAGGTGAGTGTTTGTGCAGTAATGACTGTGATTGTGCAGGAATCCTGTTGTAATTGCGGCAGCGGGGCCATTTAGCTTCAGTTTTCCTGTACTCACAAGACCCTGCCTTTGTGTCAGCAACACACACTCTGCCCTTCATCCCCCAGGCTGTGCTGAGTTACCATAGAAACGTGTGATTAGCTTGTGGGAGTGAAAAGCAACTGATTTTTCTTTTTAAAAGTGGAGAGTGGAAATCAGGAAGTTGGAATAGCCCACTCCACTCCACTCCACTGGACTATCATTTTTCATCAGGGGGGAGGGACGAGCATCTCTTCGGTAATGAGGCCTACATGTTGGGAGGTGGAAGCACTGCAGGATCACAAGTGGCTGAATAACAAGATGTTGGAAAACTTCCTAATGTCTATTGTCCACTGCTGCAGGAGCATTAATGAATCCAACAGAGCCCATTCAGTTTGTTTGTGAAGGAAGCGGTGATGCAAACATGTATAGGCAGGGCAAACACCGTCGCTCTGTTCTGATCCACGGCAGGACAGCGCTGTGTTTGGCTGGCTGAGCTGTGACTGACAGCAGGGATCTCACCCAGTGACAAACAGGCAGGGAGCAGAGGGGTCCCCTGGTTTGTCCCACATAACAGAGGGACAGAGACACGGAGCAGGCCTGCAGCTGCCTGACATGGATGTGCTTAGAAATGCTGTTGAGCTCAGACTGATGCTGCTCTCTGAGAGCGTCCAGAGTGGGAGGTCTCTGTCTGTGGAGAGCAATATTGGACTCACCACCGTGAGACTCAAGTAAGTTACTCTGCACGGAGACACCTCTGAGCTCACGTGGATGCGAGGTTTTCTTCTCATGTGTGTTTGATTCTGCTCACCGAGCAGTTTTTCCTCTCTCTCTCCATTTATCTTTCTTTGTGTGTCGCTCTCCTTTCTGCTCTGTGGAATGTGCAGTTTTGTGCTGCTGGAGTTGGACTGTCTGCTCCCTCGAGGTGAGGGGCTAATGGTTTTGTTGTCAAGCCATGGCGAGATGGATTCCTCCAACCAAGCGAGGGTGTGAGCAGACTGTATAGCTGCATAACATACTGCAGGAAACTCCCTGGCTCCGTTTTGAAGGAAACAGACACGGTGGGACTGAAATGTTAATACTGGCTCTACCTCTAGAGACTGGCAAATGAGAATTGATTCATATCAATCTGTTGCGTCTAAGCAACACATGCCCAGAGCAGAGCATGGCTCATCAGAAGTATCGAGTGGGTGGTGGGCGAAGTGGTTGAGCTGCTTTATGGTATTTATTTTTGTTTGCTGGTGGATCAAACACCAGCTGGTTTTTTTCCTGTCATAACGAGGCTGATGGGACTAATGGCTGCCTCCGTGCGGCGG